AAAAAAGGAAGTAAGGAAGTAAGGAAGGAAGTAAAGAAGGAAGTAAGGAAGGAAGGAAGGAACGAAGTAAGGAAGGAAGGAAGGAAGGAAAGAAGGAAGGAATTAAGGAAGGAAGGACGGAAACAAGGAAGGAACTAAGGAACTAAGGAAGGTAGTAAGGAAGGAAGGAAGGAAGTAAGGAACTAAGGAAGGAAGTAAAGAAGGAAGGAAGGAAGTAAGGAAGTAAAGAAGGAAGGAAGGAAGTAAAGAAGGAATCAAGGAAGTAAAGAAGGATGGAAGGAACTAAGGAAAGAAGGAAGGAAGGAACTAAGGAAGGAAGGAACTAAGGAAAGAAGTAAGAAAGGAAGTAAACAAGGAAGTAAGGAAGGAAGGAAGGAAGGAAGGAAAGAAGGAAGGAATTAAGGAAGGAAGGACAGAAAGAAGGAAGGAACTAAGGAACTAAGGAAGGAAGGAATGAATTAAGAAATTAAGGAATTAAGGAAGTATGAATGGAAGTAAGGAAGTAAGAATGGAAGTAAGGAACTAAGGAAAGAAGGAACTACAGAAGGAAGTAAGGAAGGAAGTAATGAACAAGGAAGAAAGGAAGTAAGGAAGGAAGTTAATAAGGAAGTAAGGAACTAAGGAAGGAACGAAGGAACTAAGGAAAGAAGTAAGGAAATAAGGAAGGAACTAAGGAACAAAGGAAGGAAGGAACTAAGGAAGGAAGGAAGGAACTAAGGAAGGAAGGAAGGAACTAAGGAAGGAAGGAAGGAAGGAAGGAAGGAAAGAAGGAAGGAACTATGGAACTAAGGAAGGAAGTAAGGAAGGAAGGAAGGAAGGAAGTAAGGACGTGAAGAAGGAAGGAAGTAAGGAACTAAGGAAGTAAGGAAGTGAAGAAGGAACTAAGGAAAGAAAGAAGGAAGGAAGGAAAGAAGGAAGGAAGGAACTAAGGAAAGAAGGATGGAAGAAAGTTAGGAAGGAAGTTAATAAGGAAGTAAGGAACTAAAGAAGGAAGTAAGGAACTAAGGAAGGAAGGAAGGAACTAAGGAAGGAAGGAAGGAAGGAAGTAAAGAAGGAATCAAGGAAGTAAAGAAGTAAACAAGGAAGTAAGGAAG